CTGTGTGTTATGCGGCTGTGCCCAGAAGGGGCAGACAGCCTCCTCTGCCAGCAGTTGTCAGTTTTAGAGTCTTGCTTGACCTTGGTCATCTCGACCCTGAGTCCATTAGCTCTCTGGTTGCATCTGTGGAGGAATATTTTGTGATGTCAGAGGAGAGGGCCCAGGACGGCGCTGTGGAATCAGCAGACACACACAGCAAGACTGCGTAGTCTCTGTTCCTTTCAGTCAGTTGGAACATTGTGAAGATGTAGCCTGCTTTAGGAAATGATTTGCTGAATCTTGCCGCTTCCTCCTATTTTCTTAAAAGCATTTTAGCTTTCAGTGTCCGCATAGATTTTTTTCTTAAAGGTTTTATAGAGATTTTTAAACAAGCATATGGTCTCATAGTTGCTGATTTTTTTCCCTCACTCGATCAGGGCTGCCCATAATTTTTTCAAACATCTGGTATCTTTCTTTTCCTGAGATATCTTGAAAATTGATCTCTTGGTACTTAAAAAAAATTATTTTATTCTAAACATAAGAAATAAAACAAGCATTTCCACAACAAAGTGGGATAGAAAAACAGGATTACTTCTGAAATTGCAGATCCATTATTATGTACAACTTGCTATTCCTTTCAAATATACACCAAAGTTATCATGTAACTTTATTTTTCTTATCGCCCCCTCCCCAACTTTGAGATGGCTACCATTAGACACAAAGTTGTGTGTGTGCACACATATATATGTCAGTTCTTTTTCTGGATTCAAGCAGCATCTTCCTTCATGGGATCTTTGCAGTTCATTTGGGTATTTATAATAATCAGTGACTTGGTTGTTCAGAGTTGTTTTTAAAACAATACATCTGTTAACTGTTCTCTTGGTTCTGCTCATTTCACTCTCATTATTTCATGGAGGTCTCTGCATGCTTTTTTTTTTTTTGGCTAGGCAGTGGGGTTAAGTGACTTGCCCAATGTCACACAGTTAGTAAATGTTGTGTGTCTGAAGCCAGATTTGAACTCAGGTCCTTCTGAAGCCAGGGCCTGTGCTCTATCCACTGCGCCACCTAGCTGCCTCCTCCCCATGCCTTTCTAAAATCATTGAGCTGATCATTTCTTATACCAGAGTGGTATTCTGTCATGAACATACGCCACGGCATCCCCCCAATTTCCAGCTCCCCTTCCTGCTTTCATCCCAGACCTCCTCTGTGCAATTGGTCTGGTCAGACTGCCTTTCCTGGCTACATCTTCTTGTTCTTTTTTTTTTTTTGGCTAGGCAGTGGGGTTAAGTGACTTGCCCAGGGTCACACAACTAGTAAGTGTTATGTGTCTGAGGCTGGATTTGAACTCAGGTCCTCCGGAATCCAGGGCCAGTGCTCTATTCACTGCGCCACCTAGCTGCCCCTACGTCTTCTTAAGTAAAGGCCAGTTCACACACCTCTATCCCTCAGAGAATGAGGTGTTCCATTTCAGATATAGTGGTTCTCTTTTCATCTAGGATGAGAATTGATGACCAGAAAGAATGACCAATAGGACCTGTTTTTCCTCTGTTGTCCTTCTTCCATGCTCGTCTCTTACACCACACTTGCCTTAATTCAGACTGACGTCTGACTTAGTATGTGTTCATTTTCCCCTCTGCTGTTTTTCACCCTTTGGTGAGCTGACATGGGCTCAGGTGTTTTAGGGCCATATAGACCTCTTTGTTGTGGTGACGGCTTCTCAGTGATTGAGGTGGTCATGAGAATTACTTATATTTATTTTATCCCAACTTGTTTAAATCTTGGTTTGCATGTTTGAGGCCGCCACTGTGGCCATTGTATGCAACGTGGTCATTACTTCCCTGTCCTTTTTTCTGATTTGGTGTGGACTGTCCGAACTGGACAGCCATTTGTTAGCAAAACAAACCTGCCACTTTTTCACAGATGGCAGTCTTAACATTTTAAAGGGTTATTTTTAATTGATCATTTCTGTTGTTTGTGACTTAGCTCTTTTTCAAAACCAAAACTTTAAAATATAAATCTCGATTGATAAATGAAGTTGACAGGGCTCCAAGTGTATTGGCCTTTTTATCTGAAAGCCAATTCACATTTGTTAATGTAGTATACCGTATGTTAAAACTATATATTCAAGAGTGAAAGTAAGCATAAAGTTATAAAGTCAAAGAGTTCTCATTTCTTAGTATTAGGGGAACATTTCCCAGAAGTCAGGAACTGATTAAAGAAGTAATTCCTTCCTTCCTTCCTTCCTTCCTTCCTTCCTTCCTTCCTTCCTTCCTTCCTTCCTTCCTTCCTTCCTTCCTTCCTTCCGGGTTAAGTGACTTGCCCAGGGTCATACAGCTAATGAGTGTCAAGTGCCTGACGCTGGATTTGAACTCAGGTCCTCCTGACTCCAGGGCCGGTGCTTTGTCCACTGCACCAACTAGTTGCCCCAAGAAGTAATTTCTAATCTAGAAATAGTCAAAATGATGTTTCTTGATGTGAGTTCTTGAAACATGTTCAGGTATGAGTTGGACTAGATGCAAGGTTCCTTGCAGCTTTCTCTGAAACATACGACTGGCATGCTGGCCTCCTTGAGAAATAAAACCACTGAAGCTACCCATTAAAATCATGGACCAAAATATATGTTTCTTAATTCCCTTGCTACAGTAATTTCTAGTATTATTTATAGGGAAAAAATGCAATTTGCCCTTCTTTGTAAGATTATTCTAACTCGGTGATAGTGAAATCAGTAAAAATTTCTACTTGAAGCAGAGATGCCAGAGACGAGGCACAACTTTTGTGTCTGATGTGCAGCTAACTATAAATTAGGAAATCTTAATTCTGAAAATGTCTTCATTTTCTAAATTCAGCCCTGAAAATATCATTTAAAGAATAGTGTTTTGTTCTGAAGTATGACATTGATTCAATAAGCCCTTTTGGGAGAATTATCTTTATTGAAACTTATCTTCAGAAAATGGGCTTTATTGCTGTGTTTCCATAAGGTCTCGCCTTGTGTGGTGGGGTGACAGTTGGTGTGCGCACGCGCGCACGTGTGTGTGTGTGTGTGTGTGTGTGTGTGTGTGTGTGTGTGTGTGTGTGTGGCACAGACGCATTAGAGAGGGCAAGGACTCCTCCATGGGATCCTGGGGGATTAGGCACTGGGGAGCCCGAGGCCCGAGGGGCCAGCCCTGGTCACTGGGGTCTACACAATAACCCTGTGAGGCTTGTTCTGCTCCGAAGTGCACCCGCAGAATACAGACTGCTCCTGTTCCAGCCCCAGCACAACAGAACATTTGGAAGCCACATAGCAAAGTGTTCTCGAAGACTAGGGATAAGTGAGAGTTGGCTGCGTGTTCCTTGTGCTCTTTCTGGGCCTGCATGGGCCTGCCCTGTAGTCATGGAATTAAGGGAGAAAGGGACGGAGCAGAACAAAGAAATGCACTTTCAGTTTGTTTCTCAAATTCACATTAACCGCGGCACTGGTGTCTCTGTGTTTCCCTCCCCCTTTCCCCTCCCCACCCCCACTTCCGGGAAGTTTCTGTGTTTTTCTTTTATGGCGGTTCTTCTTGGGTTCTGGCAAAGTATCTCTTCTGTGGAAAACCTTACCTGTGATTGTGCCACTTTTCACTTTCTTTCTCTCAATGGAAATTAGAAGCATTAAACACATCTCAAATCTTTGAAAAGAAAGATGTTTTGAAGCAATGTTAGTATTTGGTAATACCACGGCAGTGCTAACAGTCTTACCGCTTATCTCACATTAGGACTGTTTTGTAGTTTTTTTTTGGTGAGCTTACTGCTACCTATAACCAAATTTGTTGAGCACTCAAAATTTCACTCCCAAAAATAAAAAGCAGAAACAGTAAGTGAATACTTGTTTTATGGACCTAAGTACAAGCAGCGTTGGAGAAAGCTGAGGGATTACATGTGTGAGTTACTTCATTTTGAATAGTTGACTAAAAGTTTAGACACATAATCAATAAAAAACCTATCTGCTTTAGATAAGAAAGATACTTGCAGTTGGGATAATGTTTTTAAGTGGCTTTTTCATGCATGCTGCATGTCCCATGTTGTACTTCTAATGATATCCAGAATTACTTAATTGTTAAGGAAATTAGCTATTTGTATACTTTTTATTTTATTTTTTGCAAATTTTTGTTTGTTTTTAAGTGAAGCAGTAGAGGGGTACATGCTGGTGTGGCAGAAATCAAAGAGAAATGTTCCTGAAAGCTTTTGATGAAGATATTTAAACCTTCCTCAGAGGTTGATTCCAGCCAGCCCAGAGTAGGGGTTCTTGGCTCCAGCTCAGCTGCATTCTTTATCGTTTTATTAAATTGCTGTGCTAGTTTAGATAGCAGAATGCCGTCTGCAGGCATGTATTGATTGACCATTCCTTGCTCGTGTGATGAGAACACCATTCTTTTTGGAGGTGTTCTCCTCCTTTTGGTAAAGCAGGTCGATTTAGGACTTGGAAGGGCCCCAAAGATGAGCGCCCCCTGCTCCCCTGTCCCACTGCTCCTCACAAGAGGGCGGCATCAGGTGGTGTGCAGCTCTTGGCACCTGACAGTGGGGGCTGGTGGTAGAATGTTTCACAAGACGACGTCGTGCAGAGCTGTTATGATCTCTGAATGTTAATGTTCTTTTCTTATCACTTTACTGTGTAGATACCCTTCATGAGACACATCTCTGCCACAGCTCGTCCTCGGAGGCAGTCCTGGAGCTCTCTTTTATAAGGGTGATTTAAAATGTGGATAAAACTCTCAGTAGAATGCCTAAAGTAAAGGAGAACAGCTATCTTGACTTATTTTTCTATAAGCTTATCATGACCAAAAGTTGAGTTTGCTCGTCAGGTTTGCATAGAATGAAATTGATTGGTTTGTTGCTCACACTGACAAGGCACTTAATTTGCCTGCTTTTTTTTTTTTGCACTAATCAGAAACACTTGATATGTGCATTGTTGGAAAATACTGGATAAATGTCTTGTCAGAATTGTCCTATTAAGTAATGTCTTTTTCCCCTGTGCTTCCGTGGCAAATGATGATATACAGTGCTGGGACTCAGTGAAGAGGGACAGAATCTATGGGACTTAAATGCCGTGGGCTGCTCCTCAGCGCTGTTGCTGAACAAAGAAAACCATGCTCTTCCTCTAGTCCGCTTCCCGTTTCATGCCGCCTAAGCCGTACATTCCGATTTCAGACAACGTATTGTGGAGTCCTAGAGAAGCCTGTTCTGTGAAAGGATTGTTTCTCTTAACGATGCTCATGCGGGGCCAGCTAGGGCTTTGCCTCTGGCAGCACTGGGCTGTCTCATTCTGAAGTCGCTGTCTTGTTGTGGAAGCCAGAGCCTGTGCCTATTAGCATGAATTACTCAGTGTTTACACTTCTGATTTAACCATGTGAACAAAAGTATCTTCGTGTTGCTTTTTGGATCTTTGTTGAGCAATACTTAAAATTTGCAGTCTCTTTAATGTCTTCTCTGAGCTCGCTGTGTTCAGGCTGAAATTGTTTTCCCCAGCCATACATAGTAAAAGTATGAGATCACCGCAAGGGTACTGAGTAGTCCGATTATAATGTGTGCCCGCTCAGATATCTTCATCAGCATCTGTATCTTTCCGTGGAGATACAGGAATTACATTTCCATCTGCAAATTTGGTGATCCAAATTTAAAATCAACAACAGAAATGGTTTGAATCTTCTATTACTGCAGCCTGAACTGACTTGGAAGAGACTTTTTGCTGAAATACCTGTAAATGATAACATAATTCCTTGCGGAAACTCCTGATTTATAGTGGTGGTTTGGGTTGAAAATAAATTAAACTTAGGGGAAAAAAAACGATGGAAATGTTATAGGTTATTGAGGGGAAAATGCAAATAAAAAGATACTGTATTCTCTATATTACAGCTATATCATGGTAGAAGACCATATGTTTGGCTAAGATGTTCAATAAAAGTAACATGGTGTGTGTAAAATGGTGTATAAATTGAGATAATTAAATTATCAAAAGATATTTTACAACATATCTGGGAAAGATTAATATTCTGTGGCAAAGCACTGAATAGTTCTGTTATATTGCATTAGAAATCAGATTTCAGTTTGTTGTCATAATGTAGGAATAAGAAAAATTATGGTTTCTACAGCCTAACCAACTTGAGAAAAAATGACAAGCGTTTTACTAATGGAAAAATGCTAATGTGCTAGCAGCCTTGGCCTTCTGTAATGTCTGATTAGAAATTACTTATGGTCACTTTTTTTCTTTCTTGAAATCATTATGCCAAGTTACTTTTTGTGCCTCTGTTAATCAAAAGTGTTACCACGCTTCCATGAAAACACCTCGTAATCCTGAAGACTGAGAGCTGATCATCTTTTTGTGGGCAGATTTAAGTATCTTTTGTCTCACAGCATAAAATATCCACTCCATAATTCATGAGCTAGATTTTTGCAAAGGTGAGCTTGGAAGAGGGAGTACCATGGAGGGAGGGAGATAAAACACTTCCCGTCCTTCCTAATGGCCTCTCCTCAAAACTCTCCAATTTTCCACACTATAAAATTGACCTTGTCTGTAATTGGCCCAACTGCTATTCCAAGGTGATATTAATTTGTGCTTAAACAATCTTTGCCGCAAGCACTTCGGAGCACCCCGGGCGGGATGTGGAGTCATGTGCATGTATTCATCACACCCAGGAGGGAAAGGGGAAAACTGAAGACGAACTCAGTCATTTTGAGACAGGAGAGGGAGAGAACCTACAGCCTGAAATAGCTTATTTTGTCCTGCCCCATATGAGGACAGCCAATGATCCCTCACTCCGTCATTATTCCTGCTCTGTCCACCAGATCCTAGCCCTAACAACCTTTCTCAGACTTAGGAGATGACAGGCAGGTACCATGGGGCATCTAGAATCCACTGCCTTCGGCAGTTTCTGGGAATAAGCCTCCTATTCCAGTTGTAGGTGGCATGACTTTCAAGGACCAGGTATTCCTCCTGCCCTAAGGAGGGAAATGGCCAACCAGTGTCCATAGATGGGTGGTTTGAATGGAAAGAGTAGTGGTAGATGGATAGGCTGATGAGGATGGGATTAAAGAAGGAAGCACCTCGAATAAAAATTCTGGTGTGTTTCTAGAAGGAAGAATTTTTTCATTTTCATGAACATGAAATTCACTCCTCTTCTGTAAGCCTGGAACTCCCCCTTCAAAGCAGACCCTTGAAGCTTCTCCAGTGACTGTTCATTGTCATGCATTTATAATCTGATAGCTAAGCTGGCTGCTTCATTCATTGATTACTCATTTTATGTCCTGTGTTTGAATGCATTTCTTATTACAGTCATAACATGTGCTGGGTGTCCATTCACATTGGTCACCCCCCCCCCAATAGTCTCCCTTTGAACTACTTTCCTAGCATGATGTGCCGAATACTTAATGTCCTTACTGAATAAAAAAAGTTACTGGTTTACCATCATTGATCTAGTTTTTATTTGGATCATATTTTGAGAATATTATTATCACAGACCCATTCAAATATAGTCATAATTGCAGTTTTGCAATTGTTTAGAAAACCAGTATTACTCATTTGAAATGGTGTTTTATATTAGAAAGATTTCTTTCCAGTTTCTGAAGCTGTGTCTGAAAGCTGTTATTTAAAGATTAGATTATTAATGTTGTGTTTCAGCAACTCCGAGGTAATTACTTTGACAGCTTTAGATGGCTGCTTCATCCTGTAAATGTGGAATTGTTGAGGGGGAGGGAGTTGTTTGTTTGTTTTTTGGTTTGTTTGTTTTTTCAAATTTGATGTTTGCTGTTTTTTATTGTTGTTGTTGTTTATTTTTTAAAAAATAGTCTGCCTGAGTCAGCTCTTTGTGAATGAATATGTGTGGTATTAACTGTGGTGACTTAGAACGTTTCTGTGGTGGGTATATTTTGCATCTCTTACTCCTTTATGAAAATGAAGGCCTTTCCCCCTGTGCTCGCTCCTAAGACTTTCTGGAGGCCAGCTGATAAGGCTGCGTGCTGTGCCAGTTGTGGAGATATCATGAAATTGGACTCTTGTGCTGGGCTTTGTAAATAAAATGAGATTGACCTCCCCCAGCCATTATCTCATTTATCTGATTTACATTGTAAAATCAGGAGCTACACTATTGATTAGAGCATAATTAGTTAATTATGAAGAGAGAAATCCAAAGTTCTGTGGGATGTGAGCACAGCAGGACATTCAGCCGACACATTTCCAAGGGCATGAGCAGATGGAGATGAGTTTGTTAAAGAACAAAGTGTCCGGGCTTCAGGTATGGAGACAGCTAATCAGCCTTTCTCCCTGGCAGCGTCAAGGTGCTTGACCTTAGTCCGTGGGCTTTTCATTACTATCTGCATTTGTATGGTTTTTCTTTTACCATATAACCTGAGTCCTGCATATATGACATCCTCCTCCTCCTCCTCCTCCTCCTCCTCCCCTTTTATTTAGGAACCCCAAAGAAAATTTGTAGATGAGATAATTTATTTCCAATTAACATACTATTATGCAAAATTATTTTTATTTTCCTTCTAAAAATGATTATTTTTATTCAAAATTGTTTTGATCAAAATATGCGCTGGATTTAATGGAAACACTTAACACTTTAATTATCAAAGATATTTTCTATATCTTGAAATGTATAGAAAGAAAAATTATGTATTAATCTTAACATTTAATGCTATTTAAATTTTGGCAGGATGAAGAATTGTGTTCATCTACTATGGCTTGGAAATATTTTAGCACATGGGATACATCTTAAGATGTTTGATTGGAATGACTGGCGATTCTGCAGGGATGGAATCCATTGCCTGCATTTTGAGAGAGTTTTTTTGTTTATTTACTTCTATCTGGATTCCTTTTTAAACATTAAGATTAAACTTTTTTTCCTTTATAAAAAATATGATGGAATAGGCAAATCTGACCTATCAATTCTGCTGCTGAAAAGAAAAGAAAAGAAAAAACATAATGTTTAAGATCAAAAAGCCAGGCTGACAGTTCTGCTTGAAGTCAGCTCCTCATTATATGGCGTCATAGACTTGGCAAGTGAGTCTAATGGGACATTGACTTCCTGTAAAGGGGACCAGACGGCCCTAAACTGTGCACCCCTTTGGAAGTGAGGTCACTTGCACATAGCAGACTCCATTTTTCTCTAATACTGACATTGTTCCTTGAATGTCATTTATGCTAAAACACTTTAGGCCAAATGGATAGCAAAAATGCCACAGAATGGGAACTGAAAGAGTTAATGCCATGCATGGGGTCTCGCCTCATGTATCAGCCAAGTCCCAAATAGAGCCACCATGGATTTATTACATGTGAGGGTGTGATGAGGAACATTTCAGGATCTTTTTTTTTTTTTAAAGGAATTCAGTGGAAATTTGCTACACAACTTTATCATATGTGATCCAAAAGAAATGGTTTTCTTTTAAATTTTAATTCTGTTCTTTGTTTTCTTTGTCATCTCAGTATTTTAGCTATATTATGGACTAGTAGTCTTATTTGGTGATTATCTTTTGGTAAATGCAGGCATGCAAAAATCGGTCACAAAGCCAACTCCATGATTGTTTTTGAAACCCAAAATGCTAACCTTACCTTTATCTCCCTTAAGGAATCATATCTTAATGCGTGCATTCAGTAGGAATTTAATTAAATAATCAGGTTGCCTCTGTAATTAGACAAAGAAGTAGAATTCATATCTCATTTTGCAAGTTAAAAGCAATATATGTATTAATCTGTGTAGTCACAGTTTGATGGCTGTAAGAACACTCCTTAAAAGTATAATAAACCTTTCACTTCCCAAATATTGTTTTATTCATCTTTTAAAAAAAAAGCAACTTCTTAATTTTGGTACTTAATAGTTTTAGCCTTGCATTACCAAATAAATATTTGGATTATGTGATGCCATATGTTGGTAGTGGCATGTGATATTAATGGGCATATTGGTCTTTAATACATTTTTTTCCCCAATCAGCATACTATTAATTATTATGAGACAAAATTTCTAAAATAATATATTTAAACATTTAATCCGGTTAATTTTAAACATAATAGAGAGGAAATGAAGAAAATTTTCATTTTATGTGATGAGATTATTTATTTCAGCAATATGTGAAGTAAATGCCCCATTTGAAAAAACCACCCCCAGTTACAGTAGATCATTGCTCTTTTTCTTATTCTCCTTTTACCTGGTGGCTTTGTGCTAGATGATTCATTACAGAGAAGTATTTATTACATGCCTTCTGGAAGACTATCTTTATTCATGCTCCAGCGAACAGGATTTTATAACCAAAACAAAGCCTTTTTTTGTGGGTAGCCATCAGGGCGTTAATACAGACTGTTGGGCTTCCTTGTTGGTAAGTAGAGTGGTGGGTGTGTAGGGCTGCTGATGGGGTCTCTGTTTTGTGTCTTTGGTGTTCCTTTTTTCACGATTGGCCACAGAGTCCTGGCCTTCCACATTGGGTGCTTCTGTTGCTGGCATACAGAGCAGTGGTTCTTCCATGTTTGTTACCCAGTTTCCCAGAATAGGCTGCCCTAACCCTTCCACGTGTAAATAGAGTTTCAAACACGGTCTGAGAAGCCCATAATTCCAACATTAGAAGGCACCTTAGAGGCGTCCTCGAGCAGCTGATACGTGAACACGAATCTCCTCGGCAGTGTTCCCAACCAGCAGGCCCAACCTTTGCTGAAAGACATCGAGTGAGGGAAGACCTGCCATTCTTTGAGGTAATCCATTCCACTCTCTTGACAGCTCTGATGGGAAGGACGTTTTTCCCTAGTGGAAGCCTCCAGTCTTCCTCTGTGGAACTCCTGCCCACTGCTTCTGGTTCTGTCTCTGGGGCCAAGTAGATCCAAACCATGTTAGTCCTTCAGCTACGTGAAGCCTGCTGTCCTAGATCCCCGGGCTCTTCTCCTCAGTCTCAGTAGCCTTGTTCCTCCAGGTGGTCCTCAGGTGCTCTCCTGGATAGCCTCCCCTGTAAATTGGGGTGCCCTGAGTTGGGTACGGTGCTCCAGAAGTGGTCTCACTACAGCCAGAGTCAGTCCAGAATCACCTTCTGTTTTCTAGAGACTGCATTTCTTGGAAGAAAGCTTAAAGACTGCCTCTGCTTTAGGGACCAACATGTCCCACTGCATTCTCCTCTTGAATTTATTGGCCATTGACACCTATCGATTACCCCAGAGCTTTCATATTGTCTATAGGTTAAAAGATAACTATGTATAGAAATATTTATCTCTATACAGATATATGTACATCTAGCTATATCTGCATGTCTATCATTCATCCGTCTGTGTCTCATCCATCTTTTCATTTGTCATCTTTTATCCATCCATCTATAATCATCTTTCTATCTATATCCATCCATTAATCTATCATTTATCTATCCTTCCTATCCATCCATCCATCTATCCATCCCTCTTTCTAGCTCTCTGTCTGTATTCCAGGAAGAGGCAGTAGGGATCATGGGGAAAACCCTTAACTTAGCAGAGACATGAATTTGGGAGCTGTCTCTGCTACTTCATGCCTGCTGGTGCAAGTCACAACTTCCGTCAGTCCCAATTTCCCACCTGGCGTACCTGCCTCTGAGAGTTTCCGTGACTGTTGTTTTAGCTAATGTCGTAGATGCACATTGCCAGCCTCAAAGTGCCCTATACACACCAGCCGTCATTGTCATCTGTATTACATGACTGGTTGTGTTTATATTAAAATTGGTTTCACCTGGATTTTAAATGGCCAAGGATGTAAAGGCAACCCCTCTCTTGGGGAAAACTGTAGTCTTTGTAGGTTTGGTGAATCCTTTAATCCCTCCCACTTTTTTCCCTTTAACTCCAAACCTCTAGCTAACCAGTTTATTAGCTAGAAGAGGGAATGGAGATATGAGAATGTTTTAAGTCTTCTCCAGTCCCCGCTCACCATCTCTGACATATCAAATGTTATTTTTCTCCCTGAACCAGAAGTCTTTACATAAGAGGATCATCTGGAGGAACTGAGGTTGTTTATCCTGGAGAAGAAAAGGTTTAGGAAGGGATCTCCTAATTCCCTTTGCAACACTTGAAGAGCTGCCATGTGAAGGAGGGATTGGCCACACGGTTGGGGGTGGGGGGGAGCAGCAAAGAGGCAGAATCAGACTTGATGTGAGAACAAACTTCCTAACCCTAAATGGTGTGTGGCCTGTGCAGTCCTCCTCCCCCAAGTGGGATGCTCACGTGTTAGCTGCTTCTCAGGGGGCATTGTTTGTAAGGCCTCTGAGATGGTAGGAGTCAGCAGTCTGCCTCAATATAAAGTCCTACCAATTGAGCATCCCCAGCTGCACTAGAATAATCTGCCCCTGAAAGCTTCTCAGCGGTCAGGATGTCAGGGCTCACCAGCAGTCCAGCGCTCATGCCCCCTAGGGCTGAAAGGACCTTGGTCACCTTACGTGCCCTTGTTTGACTTCCTGGTAAGGAAGCAAAGCAGCAGGTACCCAAAGGCACAGGCTGTGGCCAGGTGCTGTTGCCCTTCCCTCGTCTCCAGGGTGCAGTGGCTGGGGTCTTGGGTGTCATTCAGTTAAATGTGCTGCAGTTTCAAATGAATGGCCATGTCACTGACAATGACAAATGTGTCCGCAGAAGGGGCTCTCTCTGAAAGAGCCGCACAAAACACTGTGAGTCAGGGCCTGTGGGCTTCCTTGACCCTGTCTGGCAGATCAGAAAGCAGAGGCTCAGAGACACCCAGTAAGTATCAGAGATTCAGTGTCCCGGGGCGCAGTCCTTTATTCCCATGCCGGTACTGGGCACAAGGCATGCCTGCTCCTCTCACCTAGCTGGGGTCGGCCCAGGCCTGTCTTCCAGGAGGAGGAGACCAGAAAACAGGGAAAACCAGCTCTCAGAATGCTGGCATCTAGGGACATTCCAGGTCCCAAGAAGTAGCAGACCCCTGAGCGTCCCACCTTGTAAGAGCAGTTCTTTTTGGCCCTGGGGGCAGAAGCAAGATCAGTGGGTAGAGTCAAAAGTAGGCCCAGTTCAGTTATGGGGTCTTTAGTGAGAACCCTGGGTCATTGAAAAAGGATCAAGGAGATAATCAGAATACCCCAAGAAGGCAGGAGCATGTTCTTGAAGCATTTCTGTCTGAAATAATATTTCTAGACATTTGGTGCTGAAATAGCGGAGTCTCTAAAAGAGCTGTCTGGAAAGTTGAGCTATTCAGAAACATTCATTCTTGAAGTGTCTAGGTGACAGATTTGAGTCTATAAAGGAAAATGTTAGCCCTTGACAGAGGAGCTGCTTATGAATCTGAGCTTCTGGGACGACTCTAGCCTAGCTTTTATAAGTGAGGAGTTGAGACCCAGGGAATGGGGTTGGCCCCAGATCACACACCAAGTAAGGAGCCAGGCCGGGCATCAGAGTAGGTCCTCCACCTCCAACGCCAGCTTCTGTGCATTGGCTCATGCTGCCTTTGATAGAATGACCAGAGCTTTCAGAACCCATTCTGTCAGGGCCCCCTTCACCCCGGGCAGCAGCCTCTGGTTTACTCTTCTTCCAGATCTTTCTTATTTGTGGGGGTTGCCTAATGATTTTTTTTTAGTTTTATAAATTAAAAAGGTGTAAAGATCACATTTATATTAACCCTGGCCTGGAAGTGAGTAGCTGTTATTCTGGAGTCTCTCACTGTTTTATGGTAGGAAGCTTTAGAAACCGAATGTTTACAGTGATAGGTTGTCTGATTTTCTGGGTGCTGGAGAAAAGCATGCTGTAGCCTCAGGGTGGGGTTAGTGTCTACAGAGTGGTCAGCTTTCATCCGGGTCCCTGGCCTCGAGGCCTGGAGTGTTCCCCACACTTCTGACTAGTTCAGATCCTGCGAACCTATTTTGAGGTGACAGGCTTATTCATCAGGGCACCATTTTAATGTGGAAGTTGAGGGATTGAAAGTTGGAAATCTTTCCTTCATTTCCAAATGTCTCCATAATTAAGAGTTTTCCTCTAAGTATTCTTTACAACAGTAAACAGTGGCCTTTGCTGAAAAAGGTAACTCAGTTCACTGTCAGATAGTAATTATGATTCCCCCCCCCAATCCTTAATATTTTAAGATGTTTGATGGTGGTGTTTTTTTTTCTTCTAGTTTTTTTAGTTTACAAAGCTTAAATTTAAACAGTCAAGAAACCCCAATAAATAGACTCTGAGAGAATAGATTCTGAGAAATTCTTCCTTTAATGAAAAAGAACCCCGGGTGTATGCAAATAAAGTAAGGAATGTAACCCTTCTCCATAAGATGGATGGATTTCCATTCTTCAATGCAACACTTTTCCCCTGTTACTGCATCTGATATAAAATTATTTTCTGAAAGCATAGCAAGGCAGTTATTTGCTAGTAGACCAAGGTTGTCAGTGGCAGAGAGATGAAATAGATAGTTTAAATTTTGTGAACTGTAGGTGGTAAACACTATCAAAAGAAATGTTAATAACCTTAGAATAGTTTTATAGAGGGGGACTGGAACTTTTAAAATCGCATACAGCAGCAGCCAGGCAAGGTCTTTATAAGTCAGTAATCACCACATTTTCACCTTTTATATTAAAGTTTTCTAGGATTTATTTCTTTTTAAAATGAGACACTGGCAAATGGTATTACTTAGTATTACTGTGTTGTCTGTGTTAGAACAAAAGAGAAATTAAGGGCACTGCCAAACAGATCCTGTCAAGTTTGCCTTGGGAGCAGAGGAAATGTGAGTTGTAAAGCTCTGGTTTTGGGTCCGCATGGGAGAGATTGGGCCCAGACTTCTGTAGCTCCTGGAGGGGCCACATTCAGTCTGCTCCAATGTCCTGAGCAATAG